TGGTATCGGGGATTGAACTCGGGTCCTTCTGCTTGCAAGGCAGGCCACCAAACTGCTGAGCTAAATCCCCGGCCCTCTCCCAAGTCTTATTTGAGCCTTACACCTGACCTTTTTGTAATACTAACAAGTTTTAAAAAACTGTGTTTTTCCTTTTTTTATTTTTCTCTCAGGGAGGTTCTGCTAAGAATTGAGTCTAAGTAACCTACAGACTGCTCACTTTCTGTACAGTGGGTTGACTAAGAGCTGTCCTGTGTTTCTACACAGTGCTTTACTCACCTTTCTGATGGCAGTGCTCTGAAAGTGCGTTTCCTTAGCAGATGCCTGCCTCATGTAGTTTTCTTTTTGTAGCTGTCTTTCTCTTCTGCCTCTGTCTCCTGCTCTTTGTTTGAAGCTACACTCTAATTGAAGGCCAAGTAGTCTTATAACATGCAAGTGTTGCTTTTTTCTCTTTCCCATCCTTTTATCTTACTGTGTGTATTTCACTGAGAAAAACATTGCAATCTTTATTTAAGAGCGAAATGTTTTGTTTTTAAAGAAGTAAATGGATCAGGATATTGGGCAATGTTAGTGTAAAAATTCAGATTAGTAGAGTGAGTCCAAAACAGTTTGGCACTTTTCCACTTTATCCTCATGAAATAAACTATTTTAATTATTTTTGAACAGGCTGTAAAATCTTAAGTTATGTGGCTTTGTAAAAGTGGTCACTCTTTTCTTTAAATGCAGTACTGGGAATTGAGCCCCAGGGCCTTACCCTGAGCTACATCCCCAGCCATTTAAAAAAAAATTTATACAAGGACTTGCTCAGTTATCCCAGCTGTCTTTAAACTTTAGATCATTCTGCCTTAGCCTCCTAGAAGGCTGGGATTACAAGCATTTACCACCATACCTGGCTTCTTCTTTGTTTTTGTAAACGATCTCTTGGTTTGGATACTGATTTGTCTAAGTATGATTATAGTTACCTGATAATGAGAGCTTGTAACATAGCTTAGTGCTTTTTCCTGCCCTACCTCTCCTCTAGAAATTTCATACTTACTCACTGAACCATTGAGAAAGGAATTCATCACTGTGGTTAAAAGTTTGTTGTACCCATTGTTTTAGTTAGAAGGAGAAATGTTCAGCAGCTGCTTTTAGTACATTTTTTCTTTCAGAAATGCTTGCTAAAACTCCAGCGCCCTGTCCACTGCACAACAGAGCCATGCGTTTTCTTTTTAATGGTCGGATCCTTACTTTCTAAGCAATAATACTTCATGTTTGCAGGGAAAGTGATCCTGTGAATATTGTCTGTACCTCTGCTATTCACTGTTTCAGGTGTTGCTGTATTATACATAAGCAGCAGTGCAGATAAAAGGGAATCAAGTATAAATACTGAGACCCGCACACTTGTCAACAGTTACAGAACCATACATTGTTATAATTGTACTAATTAAAGGGTTAAAATCTGAATATAATATTTCTGACCTGAAGGTTGACCTTGAATGATTTTATGTACTCATAGGATAAAAACCAATAGAAAAAATAGTGAAACACATCAAGTGTTACTGTAAGCAGGTAAACTTTATTCCTTGCTATATTTGATTCTGAAAGACAGAGAGATAGAAGCAGGGGCAGATTGGGGAGACTGATATACTCTTAAATTAGGAGTTGAGAGGCTTATCACACTAGAAACCCCAAACTCCACTACCAGATCTACTCTTGTATATATTGTCTACTCTGTCATTTGACCAGATTTACACTCTTAATCTGGATAGGAAAATTTTCCACTAGGGGGGCAGCATATAGTAGATGAGGATACCATTTGTCAGCAGTGTTTCAGGGTATGTTGGCTGCATGCCCAGATACCCCAGGCTGCAGCTGAGACCCATCCCTGGAAAGTGTGGGATGAGACCCACTCCATGAGAGTTTAAATCCCTTCTCATGGCAGCCAGGCATGGGGACCCGAGTTAGAGAAAGTGATGGACTTCTCTGGAGACTAAATCTTGAGTTCTAGTGAAAGCTTCATTCAGGATTTTTATACTATTTTAAAGCTTTGGTGAGGCTTTCCGTTTAGTTGTATAATTACTATTTACAACTGTACTTGTGACTATATGTGATTCTCATAGAAAAGAAGTGCACTACAATTGTGTTTTAGGACTGATCTTTTGAAATTGTCTATTAAAATGTTAATATTGTACTTTTCATTGACTTAAAATCACTTGACCAGTTTAGTTTTGAATCCATTTTATGGCATTAATACTAACACTTTTAGACTTTTTCAAGGGTAATTTTCTGTGCATCTTATTTATTGTGTAATATGGGAAAGAAAGTAGTTGCAGAATTCCTAAAATGGATTTTTTAGTTTTAAAATATTAGAAATGTCACCTCACCTTGGATGCCAGCAGAGGGATCAGTTGATGTCCCAGTGCTATCAAATAGCCTTTTCTGTTTCAGCAAATTATGTTGGGAGGTTAAGAAACTAGTAAGAAATAGAGAAGGGTGAATGGGGTGAAAGGAGGGCAGGGGTATGGGGAAAAAACAAGAACCAAGACGTATCATGTAAAGGTACAAGATCCCAATGATAAATGTAACTGTGTTGTTTGCTTTAAATGTTCCAATAAACTTAGTGGGGGAAAAAAACGAAACTTAATAAAAGGGCTGAGATTTAGCTCAGTGGTGCCGCCACCTGCCTCATGAGCGCAAGGACTCGAGTTCGATTCCTGATACCCAAAAAAAAACAAACAAACAAGAGCAACAAAAACAACAAAAACCTAGTAAGAAATCTGAGAAAATGGATTCTTACTACTTCATAATGAGAAAATGCAAGTGATTTGGACCTTCAGCTGTTTTCCAGTCACTTATCTGAAGACACAGTGTAGCATTTGAATAGCCTAAAGCAGCTACTTCATAATTTGAACCATGGCAACCCTGGTCATTTCTTTTGCTGTTTTCATGTCTGATCAAAAGAGGCAGGAGAGCTCCTGTGTTTTGAGTCCATCACGGAAAACTGAGTTAGAATGTGATGAGCTAGTGACTTTGAATTATTTCTAGAAGTGCTTTTGTCAGATATATCCCTGAATTATATAGTTTAACAGTTATAATGCTTCCCACAAACAATTATTCATAACTATTAACATCTTATGTTGATTAATCCTCACTTAATAATCAGAAAAGTTGTTGCTGTTCACTTTTTTGATAGTTGAAATACAGTGACACAAGTAAAGGCTTATGTTTTCTTATATTGGGATAGAAAATTTGTGATAAAAATGGATCTTTCTTTTTGACCACATTATTTTGGTAGGACCAGATGGATCATACTTCTTCAGGTCATCATCCAAACAAAAGAAGAAAGGTAGCAGAGACTTAATTTTGTAGTGTGCCTGATTTTATGAAGTAATTTTAATGCTGCAAAACCAAAAGCTTTTCATCTAAGTTTTATAAGTAGATATACATGAAAAGTTTATTGCTTTTAGATGTGTTGTGAAACACACAACAATCTGTGTTAACATTTTGAGACTGCATATATAACTAATGCTTTTGTACTTGCTTTCCTTTATGTACAGCAAAACTTTCATAGGCATATTTAAGAGTGTCATAGTAACGTTTAAATTTAGAAAATGTTGGTCATCAGGGACTGTCTCTTTTGCACATGTACACACATACGTGTAGTATATGTATGCTTGAATTTAAGACCTTAAGAGTCTTTAGATTTTAATATCTGACCCTTTCATTTCACAATAAGGGTGCTGAGACAGACCATTCAGTGTTTTGACCACATTTAGTTTCTTACTCAGTAACAGAATTAAACTTAGAATTTAAAAATCATCTAATTCCTTTCTTAGAGTTCTTCATCATAGCATTCTGCTTCAGAAGAACTAGAATAACTCCAAATTTACAAATCGACTAGTTGCTCCATAGAAAGTAACAAATACAAACTATCGTCAACATGTATTTTATGTTTTAATATTCTTTTTTTGGTTTTGCAGCATTCTAAAAAATTAAAGGTTTCTTTTACTTTTTTAAAGTAGTTTGGTGTGCTGGCTGTCTAGCTGACTTTGTCATTTTTCCTGGCAACTTGTATCTACAATTCTGAGCATCACACTTGTGTATTCTATTGATGTGCAAAAATGGTTACTGTTTAATAGCAGTCATATAATTGAATCATGGTTGAAATCTCCTCTAACACTGTCCCTCATTTGGTCAGTGTGAAAGGAGATGTTCCTTTTAGTGCCTATTATTTTAACAGTGTAGCTCATATAATAGAGTATCTATGACAATATATTTGCAATTGTATTTTTATCTCATTGCATTAACAAATGCAATTTGCAAGATAGTTTTCATTATCTTTTAACAAGTAGTAGGTCCCAGATTAATAAAACCTTTCACTGAAGTAACTTTTTTCTTAGAACATTTATAATCTTGTTATTTCAAATTCTCAAAATTTACCTTCAATTAAAGGGTTCTTGCATATCATTTAGGCTTTCTTTTGGCTTTTGGATTTACTGTGAATAGTGAGTGTTTTCAGATACACTGCACGGTGGTGATTTGTCAACTACTGTATTTATATGTGAGATAGAGTAGGGTTAGAGATGGCCACATGACTCCAGTACAGGAACTTCTTCCTGCTACTGGTAAATAACGGCTTTGAAAATTTCTGTTTCAGAACAAAGGAAGAATTATGCCCGGGACAGTGTCAGCAGTGTGACAGATATATCCCAGTACCGAGTGGAAGTAAGTTTCTTTGGTGTTTGCTAATATTGTAAGATTCTTGAGGGACACAAAAATTGGAAGTAAAATCAGAATCAGGTTTTATTTTATTCTTGTGATTTTTTTTTTAAAGTTGACCTTTTGATGTGGTACCTGAGAATGTTACATATAGAAGTATTTTGTTAGTCTGGGTTCTATCTTCATAATGAATAAATTAAAATCATAAGCAGTACTCTTTGATTGCTCCCAGCCCTATTTCAGTTAAAACAAAGGCTTCTATTTTGTACTCTAGAATTCTCTTGAAATTAAACCTTAACACGATGAGTGGTTTAGTTTTACTTTTAGTTTTTTTCTAAAGTCATTACTAGTTCTATTTAAACAATAGTTCCTTTTTCATTGTTGCTCTTTTGTTATCTTCTACAGTATTTGCTCTTAATTGGAATCTAGGTGACCTCTGCTTATAATAGAAAATAGTTGAGCAGGGCAGTAATTTTTAAATTGCTCTTATTTTTATTTTTTGACTCATCTCAGGCATACTTAATTTTGTTTCAGAAAGTAGTGTGAGTAGAGTGCGAAGCCCGGCTGTTGTTACAGAGTAGTACTGCTGTCGGTACTGTGAGGTATTCATGTCCAGAGTATTGTAACTATCTTGTAGACTGCTATTGTGTGGCACTTAACTAACCCTAATAAAGTGGAGGAAGGTTTAATTCAAAAGAAATCTATTTAAGCTGTTAAGAATTTGTTTCTGTCACACTATTGTAGTTCAACATGGCTCAGTGTGAAATAAATTTAGATATCTTGTGAATCCCAACACTATTGTCTGTATTCAGCAAACCTTGCTTGTCTTCATTCCCTGAGTAAACAGTCATGAAGGTATACAGTACGTTGTGTTTGTCCTTCACTTTTTGCTATCTGACTTCAGGTTACTTCTGCTTTCTTTTGGAAATTGTTAACACAATTATGTGTGTGTATTATAAATATTTTTCCTTTTTCCCCAATCATAAGCACCTGACTACTTTTGTTCTGGATCGGAAAGATGCTATGATAACAGTTGATGATGGAATAAGGAAGCTGAAATTGCTCGATGCCAAGGGCAAAGTGTGGACTCAAGATATGATTCTTCAAGTGGATGACCGAGCCGTGAGCCTGATTGATTTAGAGTCAAAGGCAAGTCTGGGAAAGTTACACAGTTTGGTGTTCAAGAAAGCACCACAAATACTCATGTATAGCATTAGGTCAGATTTTGAGAGAGTAGGTGGGAGTGTGACAAAATAAAATATTTATTTTACTTACAGAATGAATTGGAGAATTTTCCTTTAAACACAATCCAGCACTGCCAAGCTGTAATGCATTCTTGCAACTATGATTCGATTCTTGCTCTGGTGTGCAAAGAACCAACGCAGAACAAGCCAGATCTTCATCTTTTCCAATGTGACGAAATTAAGGTAAAGAAGGGTGACTTCGGGACCAGGGATTTGGCTCAATGCTTCCGCTGCCTGCCTAGCAAGTGCAAGGGCCTGAGTTCAATCCCCAGTACAAACAAAACACCAAAATTTAGCTGGGCATGGTAGAGCATGCCTGTAATCCCAGCACCTCCAGAGGCTGAGGCAGGAGGATTGCTGTGAATTTGTGACCAGCCTGGGCTACAAAGTGAGTTCCAGGTCAGTCTCAACTACATAGTGAGACCCTGTCTCAAAATACTAGCATTTTCATTTCTGAGAATTTTGTGTAAAAAACAAATATCTTAGAATATACTGGGTGTATACTATACTAGTATATATTCTTTAGTGTTTCTATGCTAAGTAAAGAGGAAAATAGAGTGACGTTAAAAATTCAGATGAATAGCTGGGTGTGGTGGCGCAAATGTGTGATCCCAGCACTCAGGAGGCTGAGGCAGGAGGATCACTGTGAGTTCGAGACCAGCCTGGGCTACATAGTGAGTTCCAGGTCAGTCTCAACTACATAGTGAGACCCTGTCTCAAAAAACAAAAACAACTACAACAACAACAAAAAATCAGATGCATTTTGTTTAAAAAGTATAGACAATATATTGAATTCTCATCAAGGATCTTGGGCTTATAATTAAAACTTGAATCTTCAAAAACCATGGTTCATAGACAATAACCCTGCTACTCTTGTTTTATTCTAATCATAGTACAGGTTATTGCAGTGATGCACTTGGACATTTCCTATGATACTGATTTTAAATTTGCCACTTAGTTATGTGACTTGAATCATCGCACAGGTTTTGTAATCCTTAAGTGATGTGTGAAAATAATTGCGCGTAGTGGCCAATAATAACAGGTTATATCTTGAAAATTTATATTTCAAAATATGCTATAATTTTCAAATCATTATAATTTGTGATGCTTTACTGGACCTCAGAAGTTACCTTCAGCCTTGAATGTCTTTATTTCCTGAGTTGATTTCTCTAAAAAGGAAATAATTTTGTGTTGATTGGGACCTTATCAAAGCAGTGATTTATCATTTTGGTTATATAATACAATATACTTGTAATATTTTTCTTATGAAGAAATTCCAGAAGGCCAACATAAAGAAATACTGGATCTTTCTTGTATTTCTTTGACATTAAAATATCATAGGTAAATTAAGATTGACTGTAAGCAGTGTATTTTATGAATATCTTCTTTCCATTTATATTATAGATGATTGTTTTGAATTTTTATTTAAAAAGATCAATGGGGTTTTAATAATCTGTATATTAGATGTTCAAGTTTTTTATACACTGTAGTCCATTTAAAAGTCATAAATTACATGAAGAATTTTATAAAATTAGATTGTAAAATCAAATATAAAGTGAATATTTTGCTCTGAAAGTATAGTGAAATTTAATTCAGACATTTTCGAAACAGTACTAAGTCAAAGGATGTTTCATATTTGGTATTTGTATCTGTACTTTCAAAGTCTTCTTGGGAGCAAAGAGCTACAGTACCATGTGAATAAAATTCCTGGATATCAGTTGTGGAGATAAAATGAATGTGTGCTTTGGTATTGGATAGGTTCAAAGTAGATTTACTGAATGATCTTTTGTTCTAACTAAAGCTCTTGTATCACTAAGTGACTAAACACATTCATTAGTGCCATAGTCCTTATATAAGACATGGATTTCCTTGGCAGATTGAAGATATCTAAATGCAATGAAATATGCTGCAGTTTCTTTTATGTGAATCATCTTATAATATCAATTTTGAGTTTTCAGATTTTTTGAGGGACTTCATTCATTCATCTTTCCCACCATAGTGGTAAAATGTCTCTTAGAAAAATAATTTCCTTGTAAGAAGCTCAGTATTCCTAGGCATGATTAGTTTGAATATCCCTAAAATAGCCTTTTGCTAGATGTTTGTCATGTCTCACCGTGGGGAAGACATTCCTATGACTGCTTTGGGAGGGATTGGCACTCTTTATTTCACTATCAACATGACCTTGGCCAGACCATTTCATAAATTATTTCAGTTTCTTTAACTAGAAAAGAATAGATTCAAAGATCTTGAAATCTGTATTGAGCCCTAAAATTTTATGATTATCAATGCTTACTGTAAAAGAACATGCAGCATACATATTTGAGAAAGACATACATAATTACAGAGAATAAGCAGGCGCAAAAATAGAAAATGAGTACATCAGCCACAATCCTATATACAGTAATAATCACTGCCTATAAATAAACTTCATAGACAAACAGTTGAGTTGCTAATCTCACATTGGTTCCCAGGAAAATCTAACCCTGGAAAATGTTGCCAGAAAAATATTAGAAAACTTCATTATTTGCAGGAAGTTAAATTTTACCCAAAGTGACAAAATGGTTATCCAAAAGTATGCAATCTAATGTTATGCTGTTTCATGAACGTACAAGGTGTGATGGAAAAATATGGAAAATGTTTAAATTAAAATTTTCAGCTATAGTAAAAGACAGCGCTGTTAATCCTCCTCACAGTATTGCCTGTCACTTTGAACCATTCATCCCATTGTTCTTGCCTCTTTCTGAAGGAGGAGTTCTGGAAGTTCTTGTCATGGCTGCCTCAGTGTCCTGAATTGATTCAAAATGTTTACCTTTCCTGGTTGTTTTGACTCTGGAGAAGAGCTAGAAGTTGTACATTGCTAGATCCCGTGCATAAGGGGATGGACAGATCAGGAAGTTTTCAAAGTCTGCCTTTCTTTTGGATGGCACACAGTGCAGCTTTCACTGTATTTTGATCATATCTCTTAAAATCACTCATGGAAGAGCTTCCAGACCAGCTTCAGACAGTGTCAAGAACAATGGGTCAAGTGTGTTCAGAGCAAGGTGGGTACTTTCAGGGGCATTAATGGCAAGGTGCCTTTACTGTAGTGAACTTTAAGCAATTTAAAAAATTTACCATGTATTTCTATCACTCTTTGTGGTAGTGTGTTAGATATCACTGTGACAACATACTGAGATAATCAACTTATAAGGAGGAAAGTCTGTTTTGCTCACAGTTCCAGAAGATTCCTGTTGAGCTTGGGCCTGAGACACCCCAGCACATTCTGGTAGGAGACACATGGCAGAGGAGCTGCTTAAATCATGGCAGCCCAGAAGCAAAGAGAGGCTGGGGTCCCAGTATCTTCCCCAAGGACTCACCCCCAATGACATAACTTCCTTCCACTTTGCTGCCTTCCTAAAGCTTCCATCACCTCGCATTGGCACCACAGACTAGGGACCAGGTCTTTGGAAACATGGTCCTTTGGGAGGTGCTCCAGACCTGAACTATGTGGCAAATGGGTTTACCTTCAGCTAGAAGTGGCTCTGCTGGGATCCAGTGACCATGTCTATGGCTTCATAGATGCCCTGGGGGATTCTGGTGGTGAGAGAAGGAAGGAACCTATATTTGCACATTCTCTTCTAACCCCTTCCTTTCTTCACAGGCAACGATGCTTAGCCAGTTTCATTTTAAGCACATGCTTATACTTTCAGATTAATCTTTAAAAATTACATCAGCTTTTGAATTGTCATTATAAAGTTCACCATTAAAAAACACAAGAGTAAGATTTTAAAAACAGATAAAAGATTGTCTTTTTGCATCAAGATACTTACTGATCTAGACAATGAATACAATCTCTTTTTTTTTTCCTTTGTGAATCTACATAGCAGATTTTGGAAAATCTATAGCCCTTCAGGTAACTTATCTCTCCTTACAGGCAAACCTAATTAGTGAAGATATTGAAAGTGCGGTCAGTGACAGTAAAGGAGGCAAACAGAAGAGGCGGCCTGAGGCCCTGAGGTAAAAAACCATTAAAGGAAATTAAGGGATAGAATTGGTTACTTCCTTTTTTTTTCCTAAAGGTTTAGAAAAATTATGTTCGGTGAAGATACATTATTCTGTTTTCTGGATTACACCCTGTAGTCTCAACTCCTCTATCCTGTGCTTTTCCAGTGTGCTCCTCCTCCTTTCTTCCCCATGGGCCGGTCTGTCTCTGATATGCTTCTTCTTGGGGGAAGCTGCGGAGTCATGACAGACAAGTGACATTTGAAGAGCGAATAACCTGAGGTCATGTAAACTAAACATGCATTTGGTTCACAGCTTTTCCAAGTGACATGAGATGCAGAAAAAATTTCAACCTAGTTTTCAGCTGAATTTTAATTTTTCTACCTCGTATGCCTTTACAAGTAGACTCAAAATATAGAATAACTGGGAAATCCTTATTATCCCTTGACATAGTTCTTTTTGAAGTTGAAGATCTAGCTGTAAGTTGAGACAGTGGATGGGTAACAGAACAGAGATAGTAAGATGTTGATTTGTTTTTTTCGCTTTTAGGATGATTTCCAAAGCAGACCCTGGCATACCACCCCCACCCAGAGCCCCTGCCCCTGTGCCTCCGGGGACGGTGACCCAGGTGGACGTGAGAAGCCGCGTGGCAGCCTGGTCCGCGTGGGCAGCTGACCAAGGGGACTGTATGTATTTCTAGAATTAACCCTTTCTGAACACTCACTCTGAGTTGTGATGCAGTTCTTGCTTTCAAACTTTGATGCTATTTCTGAGTTGAGATTAAAGTAAATTAAAAAATTAAACCTTAGCTCAAGGAAAGTTAAGCTGTAAGTACTGTAGAGATTATTGTGTGGAAGACTTCACATAAGTTATTTAATCAATGTGATGTTGGGATGAGAGTCTTTTAATGCCGAGAGCAAGTTCCACTTAATAAGCAGTTAAAATGTCTATAAATAAAAAGCAAAATAAAAGACAGGAAATTCTCAAGTGAGAAAGGGATCAAGAGATGGAGGGAGGGGAGGGGGATGAAGAAAGGATTGAGATGTGTTGTGCGTGTGTACCCACTCCACACAAGGGTGTACACACACATTCTGTGTGCAAACATAGACTAAGAAAAGTCAGTACTACACTGTGCACCGAACCAAGGGTGACCGAGTCATCTTGTTGTTCAGCTTATATTTCAGTCCTCCCGTTTAGTATTATCTCAGCACTGTCCTTTTGTGGACAGAGTTGCTGTGGCTGACAGCAAGGATGTGAGGACACTTGTAGGGAATTGGCGGGGAGGAGGAAAGGCATTTATCATCTAAGCTTGTCACTTCGGCCCTACGTATATGCTATTGTTTTACTTTGGCTTTTTTTTTTTAAGCAAGTACAACATAGAATTTAGAATAACTTTCTATGTCATAGCATTTTACTAAAATCTGTAATTTTTTTTTTCTTTGAGACAGGATCTCACTATGTAGTTGAGACTGACCTGAAACTCATTATGTAGCCCAGGATGGTCTCGAACTCACAGTGATCCTCCTGCCTCAGCCTCCTGAGTGCTGGGATTACAGGTGTGCACCACCACTCCCGGCTAAAAGCTGTGATTTGTATGGCTAGAAAGTGCTTTAAAATGTGTTTGGTTCAGTTTCTTCATTTTATACAGGAATAAATTATGATGTGGCAAGGTCAGACTTGATGAGAACTTACCCTTTTGCATCTCCTACTCATTGCAACTTCTTAAATCTTTAATTTTTCAGAAGTTTGCATGTAAGCCTAGCTACAAAATAAATAAAAGAAATAAATATTTTAAACTATAGCTCTTTAAAAAATAAAAAATAACATTTTGTTCTCAATTTTATAACAGGTTTATTTTTAGCAATTGTATAATTTTCTATCCATGTATTTCATACTTGAAATATTGTGTTTAAAAGATTAAGCAGGAATTTATAATAGTTTCTAATTTTTTGTGTCCTCAAGCTGTTTTTGTTATCATTTTGGTTGAAAGAATCTATTTTGTTGTTGTTGCTTTTGTTTTGTTTTGGTTTCTTGCTTTGAGAGATGCCAAAGTGATCTTGAAGTAGAGGGATGATGTGACACCGTAAATTTCTGATATTCCAATAAATTTTTAAAACATACATCAAACTTAGTATTATTTATAACAAAGAAAAATTTATCTCAGAGGTGTTTCTGACTCTGACCAGATTTTGTTTAAAATAGACTCTGTAATGTCATGTTATAAATACTGTGAAATAGGTTTTCAGATCTTCTGGAGCATTACTTGGCCAAACAGAGCGATACTCAGTGCATGGGGTCTGTCCAGATAGAGGCCAATTTGAGCTGGAAAGCCCCAAAAGGAGTGTTGTTCTTTTTAAAAATTTTATTGGTACATTTTAGGTATATAATATAATGACATTCGTCCCTGGAAATTTGCACTTTTACATAATCTTGTTTCTTATTTTTTCCCCATTTCCCTACTGTCCCTTCAACCCCTCTACCCCTCCCAATTTACAAGGTTTTGTTTCCATTTTTTTCATTTTCTCATGTTAATTCCATTCCCTTCTTTCCTTTCCCCTATGCCTCCTGCTTCCCCTTCCCCTTTTTCCCTTCTCTTCCTATTTCACATGATCTGTTACACTCCCTGAAGTCTGTGGCTGCTCAGGCTGCCCAGCGTGGAGTCCCTGAGGTGGGGCTGCTCTCACTTGCAGAAGTGATGATAGCGAAACAGTAGCAGCAGCAACTCAGAGCTGCCAGTCCCACTCACCTTGCCCCCAGATGATATTCTGGTAGCTCTCTGGAGTGCACTGGAGTGCTCCAAGCTGGGAGCCAACCATATGCAAAACTCTCATACATAGAAATTGTGATGACCTTAAAGTAGTCAGAGCCACTGATTAAGCGTTATAAGGCTCAGTGATTTCCTGTTCTTTTTTTGTCAAGCATTCCATTTGTGGGTAAGGAGGCTGGGCAAAACAGAATTTACAGTTTTTTTGCAGTTCTATGTAGTGAACCTTATGAGTCATAATGATGTGTTATGAGTAATATTTTCATTAACTGTGACCTATTGATCTTGTTCCATCCATATATTTTAGATTTAATTTGCTATGAAATATTTATATTCATCTGTGATATTAACTGACATCAGGAAGGAGTTCATGATAATGCCCTCCTGATTAACAGCATACTGTAGCCAACTGAGCTACCTTAGCATTAGAAATGCCCTTGAGACATTTATTCGCGAATTTGTGAATTCCTGAAGGTATTTCTGCTTTTAAGGCTTATAGCTTAAAATTAATGAGCCTAACATTGTGGAACTTAAGCTTCATTACAGCTGGAATTTAAGAAACATCCTACTTTCAGAATTTTCAAAGTTTTATTGCAGTCACAGTTTTGGCATACCATTAGTAACTTTGTTGCATTAGAACTTAGTTGTCCCCTTTCTTGTTGTTTGTTTTGTTTTGTTTTTATTTTATTTTTTCATTGAGTTTACTGGTACATTTTAGGTATACAGTGCAATTACATTCATCATTGGGATCATGTACCTTTACATGACATGTCTTGGTTCTCATTTTTTCCCCTGGTCCCTGCCCTCCCTTCTACCCCTCCTCCCTCCCCCTTTACAAACATTTCATTTCCATTTTTTCATTTTCTCATATTTTTTTCTTTTCCCTTATTAGCTTTCCCCTACTCTTCCCAGCCATAAAGAATGAGAAATTAGATTCATTCATAGGAAAATGGCTATATATTAAGGATATACTCCTAAGTGAAATAAATAAGTCACATGTGTAAATACCGAATAGTTTCTCTGGTGTGAATAAACTATAACAGTACCTAAAATCCTAATGATATAATTGACAATGTGAAATAGGAAGAAAGGGGCTAAAGGTGCAGGGAAAGTGTTTTGTTTTTATTTTTTGAGACAGGATCTCACTATATACCTCAGGCTGCCATTTAACTCTTCATGTAGCCCGGGCTGGCCTCAAACTTGAGCTCCTTGTGCCTCAGCCTTCCGAGTGCTATAATTACAGGCATGTGCCACCACACCCATTTCTTAGTTGGTCACTTCTTGAGAAGTTGAAGCTGAAATGCTAGCTTACATTCTTCCTTATATAGAAATTAAAGGGTCGTAAGGTAGGGTTGGTTCCACTAGGGAAGGGAGAGAGAGACCAGAGAGGACAAAACATCATCTTACAGGTGGGAAGGCCCAGTGTACTTCTGGTGGAAGGCCCATGGACTTCTGTTGATGGGGACAAGGATGTATCTCAAGGGTGATGGGAACAATTTTGATATTGCATAAAGGTGTTCCTCCATGCCTCTGGAATTCTGTTCTAGTCAGTTTCTGTGCTTCAGCTGTCTGTACCGGTATTGTCTTAGCAGTAGGGTGGGACTTACGGTTCTCCTTCCTTTAGTTGAGAAACCAAGGCAGTACCAGGAGCAGGAAGAGACACCTGAGATGATGGCAGCTCGCATCGACAGGGACGTGGTGAGTATGATGGCCTCTTAGGTCTTTGGCTTTTATTTAAAGAGGAAAAATAATTACCTGAAATAAAAGTTATTTTGTTTTATTTTTTTTAATACTGGGGATTGAATTTGGGACCTTGCACTTACAAGGCAGGTGGCAGAACCACTGAGCTAAATCCCTAGCCCTAAAGTTATTTAAATAAAGGTGTTTTGTAGAAATTATATTTTCTCTTTCCAGTGACAATTACGCCTTTTGAATTACTTTTTTCTTTAAATGTTTTTACTTTTATACAAATATTTATTTGGTAGACTTATACAAACTAGTAAGAACTAGCATATTAAATAGTTTACAGAGTCTTGAAACTGATTTGAAGAATGGTTCAGTTTTTCTTTTCTTAAATTAATTTTATTGGTACAATTTAAATATACATAGCAAAAACATTCATCAAAGGAGGTTTGTGCCTGTACCTGATACAGCTTTATTCCTCTTTTTCTCCCATTCCCCTCTCCTCCCTTCAACCTTCCTTCTCCTTTATTTACAAAAGCTTCGTTCCTATTTTTTTCCTTCTTTTATTGGTTCGATTTTTTCTTAGAATATGTAATTCATAATTAAGGTGTCTTTTTAATATATCTTTTTGGGACTTATTAAGATTGCCTTTTAGAATGCTTGAAAGTTAAAAGTAAAATGATACATATGTAAGTTTAATATTTTATATAGACTAGTGCTATATTTGTAATATTTCTCCATAGTTTACTTGGAGAGTGACAATATCTTGTGGAAAACCCATAGAACATGATGTTAATATGATTAACTTTTCTATTTTACACATTCCCAGCTTATTTGGAAGCAAATGACTAATGAAATTTGAGTTTGAAATTGAATTTTCATATCACACTATCACATAATAATGTGATGAGAACACTGTGAGAACATGAGTAATTGAAATTAATAATCTGAGTAGATATTATGAATGCTTTCATGATGGTATTGAAGATAGAGCAAAATTAAACTAAAGAAAATGTGAAGGTCAGACTTTAGCAATAGATATATTTAGTTCATTTTTTTTTGTTAGAATTAGCAGTCAAATTTAAAATTCGTGTGTGAGAGTTCTTTTCCCCTCCTCCCTTCTTTTCTCCCTCTCTTCCACCTTTCCTTTCTTTTTTTCCTTTCTTTTTCTACATTCTGTTGTTTAATGATGAGGCCTAAGGCAAAAATAGTTGTACTTTTTAAAATTTCATTCTGCAATTTCTAATTCCAGCAAATCTTAAACCATATTTTGGATGACATTGAATTTTTTATCACAAAACTCCAAAAAGCTGCTGAAGCATTTTCTGAGCTTTCTAAAAGGAAGAAAACTAAGAAAGGTAAAAGGAAAGGACCAGGAGGTAAGTTGGTTTTCTTAATCTTCTAAAGACTGTTCAATCCTATGCTTGGTAGCGCTGCGCTTGGTGAAATTTTGGCCCCTGTGACCTACTTAGCCAACACCACCAACCGTGGACCAAGGTCTCTTACATAGTTTGGGGCAGCACCAGAGATTTAGGCAGAGTAAGATAAGCCCGGGAAGAGCTCAGTTTGGTTCTCAGTTGGCTCTAGTGAAGGGGAGGGTCCTAGATTTCACTGTCTAGTTGGGAGATCCTGACATTTAGGTGGTTTTCATTAGCCATTGTAAATTAGTGTTGATCAGCGAAAGTCAGAGTCCTGTGCTCTTAATTTTTTATTGTAAGCATAAAGCCTAATTTTTAAATAAAAGAGTTGGGTTTTCTAATTAAAATATCAAGGATTTGAACTTATTACCATAACACTCTAAGCAAAAATTGCATACAACAAATTTGAAGTGTGTTGCAGTTCAGTATTTAAAATGCCTCAAGATAACATAAAATTATAAATATGGAAGTAATGTCACCCATTAGTGTTGTCTTCTAGCTGTGCTGACCTGGAGGTACCTCACCTCCACATTCTGAAATTAAGTATCGCTTCCTAGTATCTCAGCCCACTATTCTACTCTGCTCTTCGTAAAAGGGTGCATTGTTCTCTTGCTTACCCAGATTCAGAAACATAGATTTTTCTTTGACTTTATTCTCTGGCTCATAGCCATCACTGATTTATTTTATCAACATCTCCCACATCCTGCTTTTTTCCACTTTCATTTTCATAATTAGCATCAGTTTAAACTATTACTGTTTTTTCACCCAGCTTTCTAAGCAGTCTTCAACCCTCTAACTCTTGCGTGCCCTGAGAACAGTCTCCTTGAAGCTCTAAGTCAGCCACTCCATGCTCTGCTCTAAAGCCTGTTACTCCACATTCTGTTCTCCAGCTCCTCTGAGAATCAAGGTCATCCACCAACTACCCTCCATCCACCTGTCCACTCATGTTTCTCTGGTTTCATATTTGTTGCTTCTTGTACATGCAATTTATTTATTCCATATGTTGTTTTTATTCAACCATGATGATTCCCTCAAAAATCCCTAGAAGAAACTTTAAAAATTTGATGTTAAAAGTTTTTTTTTCCCTGAAGCATCTTGTAGGTGTACATTTTCCCATCTTCCCAACCAGATGGAGTTTCTTTTCATGGCATTTGATCAATACATCTTTGTTATTTATCTGATTCAGATCCTTTTTATACTTTAAGGCCCTTCTGAGCAGGGCCTTGTAACTTAAAATCTTCACAGTGATAAGCATAACGATGGGCCCTTAGAAAGGCTAAAATACAGATTTGTGGAATTGACCGAGTCATCATGGGGTCTAAGTTTGGGGGAATCCTTTCAAACTTTTTTTGTTGCAGTCACCCTGAGAGATGTAGTAGAATAACTAGGTGCTATGTCTGGTGTAATTGTCAAATTTTCAGATATGGATGTGATTTCTGTTTTTGTATTTAATGCATTTCCTTGGAATTTCGTTCTCACCTCCTTCTCCACCTATTTATTTCACCAGAGGGTGTTTTGACACTGAGAGCAAAGCCTCCACCTCCTGACGAGTTTGTTGACTGTTTACAGAAGTTTAAACATGGATTTAACCTTCTGGCAAGTGAAAAATATATGTATATATCATTAGATAAAATAAATTTAAAAATCAAGGACTACCCAGGATGTCCAGGAAGTTAAGAGATGTAATTGTTCTTATTGATTTTTTGAATGCGTGTTTTGATCAGCTTTTAATTAGAACAACAAATTATAAAACATGTTTATCTTAGTAGAAAAAATAGTGATTTGAAATTTTTTTAAAGCTAACTTCTCATGACTCTTGTTCTGTCTGTGTTAGTGAATATACTAATAGGAAAGTGGTCAGAAAGAAGTCTTCTCCTGAGTCTGTTTCAGACCTCTTGCAGTTTCCATTTGCTTATTACTTCATTGTAATATACTTGTTTGTTTTCTTACTGTTACAGGCCAAATTGAAATCTCATATCCAGAACCCCAGCGCTTCAGATTTGGTTCATTTTTTGTTTACTCCATTAAATATGGTGAGACTTTATTAACTTAATAAAGTACTCCTTACCATGTTCAACCCCAAGTGTCTCTCTGGATTATCTAGTGTTTCTTCATTACCTTCATATGTATAGTTTCTCCTACCATCTTCATGGGTATTGTTTCTTCATTACCTTCATGGGTTTGTAAGCATTGTGCGTGTGAAATTTGAGTGTTTAAAAGAATCTTGGAAATCATCGGTTCAAGCACCTAATTTAGGACTCAGTATGTGAGTCGGTGGTAGAATGCTTTTCTAATTTGTATAAAGCCCAGGGTTTGATCCCCAGTACATAGAAAAGAAAAGAAACAAACAGACGAAAACCCCACCATATTTAGAGATGAAGGAACTAATCTTTTCATCGGTGTGTATTATACAGTGACCTGAAATATGTAGACATGTTTATCCTAATCTCAAAATAGGCTAGTCACAAGAAGTTCCACACTGAAAGTGGTTTTGCTCTATGTTGTTACACAGGACCCGAATTATTTTCACTGAGGTGTTCTATCTTCTGAGCCATTATTCATTTATGTATTTATTCAACAAATGGTAATTGAAAACCGGTGTGTTTGGTGTTATAACAGCTCAGGAGGAACAAAACACGTGAAAATTCTTACCCTCTTGAAACTTTCATTGTAGTGGGGAGGGTCAGCCGATATTGTAAATAGTTGCATCAGTGGTGTAGTGTTCTAAAAATCAAATGTTATATGGATGCCAGAGCAGAGAGGGGAAGCAGAGAGCACCCCAGGTGGTTGCATACATGCCTGGTTGTGTGCGTTATTATAGAATATCACACTTTTGAATAGGGTTGGTGAGAGAGACCTCACTGAAAAGATGGCATTTTTTGAGAATTAGGAAGTATTATTCATAAAGCAGTTTTTGACATGTCTCATAAGTAGAAATCTAGTCATCACAGATTAGAGCTCTGAAACAATGAGAGTTCTTTCCCTAACTTTCAATTAATCTTTGTGATCAGGCTTTGTATCTAAAATCATTGATTCATTTTATCTTTGCCTTTCTCAAAAATAACTCCTTGTTAATTGATTCCCCAGTCCTAACTCTTCTGGTATTCCAATTAATGTTCTTTCTGTAGGGTCACAGGCATTTGACATGGATAGGCGAGTTGGGAAGGGACGTTTATTCAAAGCCTACAGTGGGCCAGGCAAACTTTGGTGATTTTAGACCTTGTGAGCCCCTCCCTTGTATGTGCAGCGAACTCACAAGCATGGCCTCAGTCCTCACGTGTGTGTGTGAGCCTGCTCCCATTCTGGAGGGAATGATAGCCCATAGCCTTTTACTTATCTGTCTTTCATTTCCTGTTCCATCTGATCAAACAAAAATTGTAACATTCTTTTATTCCTTTATTTTTCTCTTTTACGTTTCCCTCTTTGGCATGTCTATATGTTTTCTGAAAATGCCTCCAGGGTTTGGAAGTTAAAATTTAATGGACCAGATATTAGGTTTTACTCTTAAATGAGTCAGCCTACCACGACCTTTTCTTTAATTTGTTTTCATTTTTTCCCTTCGTACTTTTTTTTCTGGAGTTCAAAGTCAGATAAGTCTTGCTCCAACTCTTCAAGTAAAGGGAAAACTGAAAAATAAGCTATAGCTTGCAATGGAATATGTCACTAGTTTGCATGGATTGTTTGAGGATGCAGGGTGGGAGGCTGTATATCCAGAGTCACACCGTGGGGCTAAGGACGGCTTCATGGAAGAAATGGAAGCCAAGGAGGATTCTGAGTGGGCGGCCAGGGCCTCCCAGGAGGTGTGGACAGTGCTGCAGGTGCACAGGCTGCTCACCACACTGGATCTTGCGTGAGAAACTGACTCGATCTGGAGCCATTCTGAAAATATCCCTTCTTTTTATGCCCTGTCTCTGAAAAGGTGGGACTTGTATAAAGGATCTGGTTTCCACTCCAGGAGATAACTACCATTCTTCAGCCAGCAGATAGCTCCTGAGAAGTGAATTCAGAGCAGTGTTTGGACATCTACTACCATTTCTGCTTATCAGGGAGCTGCACCTGCTAGTCATTAAATCATCCAACCAAATGGAGGAAATTTCCTAAAGTTAAATTTTAGTGGAAAATACTTAGATTTAGGGAAGAATTCATATTTTTCTGACCCCTTTCTCCTGTCTCTTTTAGTTTTGCATGTCTGAATAGGCACAGCCATGGACTTTAATTTGAGGCTCATTTCTCTGAATAGTATTAATGCCTGATTTCTGGAACCATATGTTTGAGTTTGGCATAGTAGACTCTCATAAATATATAAAATAGGAAAAATATGGGTAAGTCAGCTAATGAGGAACTTTCTACATAGCCATTAATATTTTTCAGGGAAAACAATCATATGGAACCAACAGGTAGACAGTGTTGATGTTGTTTATTAACTATCAGTTTTAGATTTTAAGCCTCTGTGGGGATAGACAGGTGAATTCTGTAGCCCTTTCTCATTTGGTAGTATGTCACACATCACCAGGTTTTAATTTGCATATATAAAAACAGTGCTTGTTTTTGACATGGGTTTTATCTACACTGTTTGAAAATACACAAAGAATAGTCATCTTCTTGCTAAAACCGGGTTTATTGTCCTTCTAGGTAGTACAGGCAACAGGCGGTCCTGAACTGGCCAGTTCAGTACTCAGCCCCCTACTGAATAAGGACACAATTGATTTCTTGAATTACACTGTCAGTGCTGACGAGCGGCAGCTGTGGATGTCACTGGGCGAAGCTTGGATGAAAGCCAGGTAAGTGTATATGAAGTTAGCACTGAATGCCCAAATGCTGTAAGCATAGTTCTTTGTGTATTTCACTGATCTAATGGGACATTTATTTAACCTTCTGTGTGTGAAGGACTTGTAGTTGCAAGATAAAAAAGCCTAAACCTAAAGCTTGAAGCCTCGTGAAGGAGACAGAGGCATATGCAGTGTAATGCATGACAAGTGCCAAGAGTGAGTCATAAACAGAATGAAGTTTGTTGACAAGATAGTGCAGGCAGGAAGAAGATGTGGAGAGCCGGGTGATAAGCTTTATGGAAGAAATGGTATTTAAATTTAACAGATAATATCACTAGCAGATACAGGTGTATATGCATTTGCATACACATATACATTTATTTTTATGGCTTTAACACAGTGTTTGCTGAATTCTCTCCCATACACTTTATAGAGGTACTGTTATTATCTGTACTTTACCGATGAAGAGAGTGAAGCTCAGAGAGGTTAAGTATTTTTCCCAAAGTTACACAACTTAGAAGTAACAAAGCAGGGTTATGAAACCAGGCCAGTTGGCTCTTGAGTGAAGTGTTCATAATTCCTTTGCTAAGCTGCCTTTTTCAGGATGAACAGGATTTCCAAAAACACTTAGCAAGAGAAGGCCTTCCCAATAGGGATAGAAAAATGCAAGTGCACATATGAAGTGGGAAAGTACAAAGAATGGAGTGCAATAAGGGTTTAGCTGGAGTGGAGCTTTTGGGTAGTGAATGCATGTGGCGAAGAGGAGAGGAGGAGTGGTATTCAATGACACCTAGAGAGAAGCAGGGCTGGGTTCTGAAGGCTTCCCTGGTGATACCTGTCCGTCCCTGCTGCGGCTTTGTGGACAGGAGCATGGCATCCTCACATTCACGCTTTACAGGATCAGTGGGTAGCCGGGTCCAGCATGGCCACAAACAAAAATAACTAGAGCAGTGATGCCCCTTTGGGGCGTTTATGCTCCAGTCGTGGCTCCCTATTAATCAGTGTCCACCAGGGCTGGAACAGTCATACTGGCATGGGCAAAGAAGAGTGGATAAGTTTTAGAATTGTGCATTTTTCAGTAAAGTGATTGAGAAAGAAAGACAAATCATTAACAAGTTTGGGGCTGACACCTACCAATGCAAGTTATAAAAATATTTCTAATTTCATGTGAAAATAAATAATTTTTACTTGTTCATCTACCCAAATATTTTATTTCAGTAATTACAGTAAATAAGTCAGGATAATCACTTACTCACTTAGAGAACTTTGTGTTCCTAAAACTTGGATGGGCTAACTTAAAAGTTATAGACTAATTCATATGTTTTCTTCTTGTTTTTTCTTCTGTTGAAATACATACAAACCTTTTCCACTTAGGTTTTGAGCTTTGGCAACTGCTTGTGTTTAAATATAGTTTATATTGTGAATGGGTTACCAAGCTGAAATTCTGTAAAAGCACTGTAGCTGTCATCTTTTATATTGCAAATAGTATGTACTCTGTTTATTTATATTGTTCATTTATCAATATATTCTTTGTGCTCTATCATACTGTTTTATGTGTTATGCTGTATTAAACTGACTTCTTTTAAATACCTTAGATTTATTTACCTTATGACTATGATAAGCCTGGGTGGGATGTCATTTTTTTTGCATTAAGATTATTAAATTTATCTAGTCTCGTAGAATAAAAGTAGCCTAGGCTCTTTAGTTACTTTGTTTTGGGTCCTACCTTAAATAAGAGACTAATGACTATTTAAAAAACTACCTCAAAAGGAAATATATTATTAGCTCTTCACATGAGAAAAGGCTAATTTCAGATCCCGTTGAAGAGTATGGGGAAATGAGTTGTCTTAGTTACTTTTCTTGTTGCTGAGACAAAATACCCAACACCCAAAGTTAAAAGATGAAAGTTTTATTTAGTTCACAGTTTGTAGAGTTTCAGTCCATAATCGGATGGCTCCAAGGCAGGGTGTCATGAAAGACAGGCATCACAGAGGAGAAACAGTTCATGGTGGGCAGAAGGTAGCAAAGCAAAAGCAAGCAAGGGAGGACTACAGCTCTTTCTATCCTTTATATCTTATCCAGGCTACTAAGGGTGGGTAGCACTCACAGTCTTAATCCTAGTGTCCTTGAATCTAGCATTGTACCATGAATCAGTAGAATCATCACACGCTCTGGATCTGGCCAGCTCTGAAAAGCCCCACTTATGACTGCATGAGGCTTTGGGGGAGACACAGCCGTAACATGAATGTACTGATCTAGATATGTAAAAGGGAAAAGAACCCTGAAGGTAACATAATAATCTGTATAAAACAGTTCATTTCATCACAGTAGATGTAGAACACGAAGAATTAAATCAGGTGTGAAGGATAAAGCAACATACTGTGTAGCAAAGTTGAAGGCTTATTCCCATCGTAGCTATTGTTGTGGCTCATGAGTGACAAGAACCTTGTAGAAATGTCTGTCTCAGGCATTAGGTGATGAATAGTGATTATGGTTACAGATTAGTTGACTTGACTAAAACTGAATTGATACATTTAATTTATAAAATTGATCATCTGTTTCATGTAAGGGGACTTCAGAATTTCAAAAAAAAAAAAAAAAAAAAACCTTAACAATCTGTCCGTCTGTTTCTCTTTTGAAAGATATGTTTATACCAGGAGGTTTCATAATGACCTGAGAGCCAAAAGGAGTGATCAGAATCTAAAGCTACGTTAGGTCCTGGAGAAGCTTACGCTTTCTGTCCTTATCCTACTTCTGTCCCACACAGATGGGGAAAAGACCCTGTTGAAAAGTTTTCTAAAAAAAAGGAAAGTTGAATTTAATGAAGACTTGAGACCAAGTAGTGAAAACAGGTCCAGCCACAGAACTGAATCTTGCATTATGTCAGTGTGAAATATGTTTGCAAACGGGTTTTCAGGGAGCAGAGGGCAGATGTGGTGTGTGTTGTTTCTTAACGGTGTTACTACTTCTGTAATGGCTGGCCTCACTGAAGACAGCTGTGAGCACAGGTAACTTTATTATTCACACAACATACAGAGCAGAGTGGCCGAAAGAACAGTTTATTCCGCCCTATGTTCCGCGGTTCCGCAATGGCTGGGAACCCCCAATGCTGAACTTTCTGGGGACACCAAAGGAACAAGACCTGTATCACCTGGCCGAGTCGGTGGCAAACGTGGCAGAGCATCAGCGCAAACAGGACACGAAGAGATTGTCCGCAGAGGTACGGTTGCTTCCCGTCTCTTGTAGGTGGGCAGTGATGTGCATTCTCTTATCCCTGGGATTGAGAGTTCCTAAGGTTGTTCTAGAATCAGTGACTGAAGGTCCTGCATCCCGAGTTACCTGTCTCTTCCCTCTGTGTCATGTTCTGACGATTGCTTGGGTTCTCCTGCCCCCCCCCAGCATGCCTGTGCCCTTTTCACACAGGCTTGTGTGGCCTCCTGCCTTCCCCTGCTGCCTCCACTCCCCCAACCCTGGAGCCTTGAGCCTTTTTGTATATTCCCTCTCCCTCCCTGTCTGGCCCTTGCCCTACTGCCCCTTGGCTTATTTCCTCCTGTCTTCCTCTCCTTTTGTCATAATTACCAGACAGTTCTCTGAACCTACATCCACTAAGCCTTCCCCAAGCAGCTTTCCTAGACACTCATTTCTCCTGCTTGTTCTCCCCCTTTATTGGCTTCTCCTCTATTTTTCTCTTACCTTTTTCCTTCCTCCCTTCCTCCCTGTCTGCCTGCCTCTTGCCTGGCTGCCTGGCTGCCTGCCTGCCTTCCTTCCTTCTTCTCTCCCTTCCTTCCTTTCCTTTCTTGATTTCTTGCCATGTCCTCCTCCTTCTCTTCTTCCTCTTCCTCTTCTCTTTCTCCTCTTCCTACTTCGTCATCTAGTCCTAAACCTCTGGAGCCTTAGCCCAGCTGAAGAACCAAAAGCTTTTTCTGAACTTGACTTTGACTCGAATTATATCCTGAGAAAATAGTAAAATATATTGTATCTTTGAAATAGTTAATAAAGTTTACAGTATAACTAATTTGGAGAGCAAATTCAAAGGATAAAATTGAGTATATAATCTTGTCATATTTCCTTAAAATGACTTTTCTTGATTCTTTGTCCCAGTGGAAAAGAAAATTGTACACTAATTAAAGTCAAACCAACTATAAATTGGGTGATCAGAATCTGAGGAATTAAATAAATGAAGTCTAGTTTGAAAAAGAAACTAAATTATGCTCCTGAAGTTCTGTTCATTCCTTTTATTTAATTCCTTAAATTCATTTTCTCATATTGCCACAGGTATTTGCAGTGTGGCAAACAAGATACAAAAGAATGACATAGTAAACTCTGGGAGATTACATCATGTGGCCACTTTTAAGGAGACAAATTTATGTAGATTAAATTTCTTATATCTGTCCCTTGAGGCACTATTCTTTGGACAATAATACAGACAATTTGTTAAGTCCTGATTTTTAAGAAGTGTACATAGTGCTTTGAAATTGTTATCTTTTCTAACTAATGACTCCTTCCTGCAGCTGTGTGAGGGGAATAGGTGGAGCGCTAGGTTTGCTCTTTGCTCTCGCTGAGTAATTAAAGTGACCTCACTGCTCCCAGCGCTGGTTGGTGAGAACTTGTCTTTGACTGCTGTGAAGTTCAGAATTCACAACTGGGAATTTTCTTCCTATTTGAAGAGCACCTTTTCTAGAGAAAAAAATTAATCATGAAATTTTAATATATTTGCTGCTAAGTTACAGCTGTTTTCAAGTCATAAAAATTCCCAGCTTATAGCATTCACACTTAAATCTTAAAATGCTTGCTTTATAATGTATTCCTCAGAAGTTTACTTCTGTGAGTTTTTTTTTCAATTTTTGTATGTAAAGAGGAGGAACTGTGTTCTAGACTCTCAGAATATGTTTGTCCACTCTCACCGAATAAGTAATTTTAAAAGAGGAATTACTGCAAGTCCTTCCTTGTGATGAGTTATCATTATCCTGGGTAAACTATTTTCCATTTTATGGTAAAAGTGGTTATTCAAAGGTTTGTTTTTTTTTTTTAATGAAATGAAAAACTCCTGCTAGCTGTTCTCGGGGATTTTAGACCCTGAGATTTTGTTGGACAAGAGAACAAGTAATGGTGATTTAAAATGCATGAAAAATGCAATCATCCCTACTAGAGAGACTTTATATTTTATTGCTGCTATAATAAATACATTTAAGACGAGGCACGGCTAACTCAGGATCAGATGATTTTGTTTAGAATTGAAGGCAGGGTGACTTGCAGTGACAAATGTGGGTGGCTGGCTGTACTCAGTGTCCTAACTTCCAGGAAGCAGCAGCGCCCCTCAGCAAGGCTGAGCAGTCACCACCTTAGTCATCTGCTGTCCCCCTCCCTCCCTTCTGGAACTCCCTGACTGAATGCTCAGGACCCAGTGATTTCACAGTGGTGACCTTGCTGGGCTTTGTTCAGAACTAGGTAGAAGGTGGGAATGACTCAGATAGTTTCTTGGCCCCCTTTAAGAGCATATTGTAATAAGAAAATTGTCCAATTTAGTGTGTGTTCACTCTGAGGTAAATGATAAACTGAATTAAGTAAGTCCAGACATTTAAATGGCTGAAATTTGCCTGTTTGTATTTGTGTGTACAGGGCAGCACAGCATCCTGCCACGGTGTAATATGAGTACTTTGATATCAGCACCAGGCCACTGGGGATACGCCGTCTACTCTGTCTGAATTAACTTAGCCCTATTTCTGCCAACTTTTTCATTACGATTAGCGGAATGAGCTATCTAGCCAACCCTTTTCTGAAATAGTCCCGATTTTAAATATTTTGACCAGGGCATTCATAAACAATTGAAATATCAAGGAACTCAATAGCTTCAGCATCTACTGTGCTTTTTCTATAGTTTATTTTACATAAAGAAACCATATGAATTCTGTAGGTGATACTTTTGTTTTTCTCCCAATGTGAGCACTTGGCCTCTCTACCTTTGAGACAGTGGTGCTTGAAGAACCCACGAATCTTAGTCCCTTCCCTCGGTGGCACCCCACAGATCCATGTCTGAATTTTGCTCAATTTAGAGAAGACACGACTCCAACAGTGTCTTATCCTGGATGCTCCACTATCAAAATCAGCGTATCTGTGGCCTTCCCTTAACAGTGTATCTGATAACAGTGTTGCCATTTGTGAAAATTGTAAATGATGCTCTGTGTACAATTTGAACATGAGAAAAATGACTTACTGTAAGTCTAATGCACAGCATTCAATGGATTCTCGTTACTTCACTCTACTAGAGTGCTATAAGTGTGTTTCTTTAACACGGAGCAAAACTTGAAGGGTTTTTCTTCCTACCACCAATTTTATTTTATATTGGTGTTATCAAGTCTGTCTGATACTAAAAAGTCATGTATTCCTGAAATCTCTCATGAAGGAAATTATTGCATTTATACCTGAGTATTTTTAGAATTAGGTCTTAGGCTTTGCACTAATTAATTTTCTTATGTAGGATCTTTTGAACAAAAGATATCACCCCATTTCATAATTCACTAACATAATTCACAATCCTTTGAAACTGAAAACCTTTCATATTTAGTGGAGAATTCCTGTTGACCAGCGTGAGTGCTTGTTCCAGGCATATTTGGTGATTCTGTAAATGGACTTGGCGATTCTGTAACTCTCCCTCCCCTGTCTTTTAGCATTCCGGTGTGTCGGAGTACCCCCCAGCTGACCCATATGCATTCAATAGCAGCATTTACGCCAGAGGGCCGCATCTGGACCAAGTGGACAGCGCTGCTGCCTTTAAGCCAACTCCTAATCGCCATGTAGAAAGGTAGCATTTAATGGGTACCATCTGGAAAGCTCTGGGTGGCTACTGTGACTTAGAGCTCACAGGGTACAGTGCCTGTGTTGTCTGCTGCTTCTTTAAAAGTTTCGTCTTTTCATGATTTGATAAAGTTTCAGTTTTTCCTTTACAGATTTGGCTTTATGAACAAAAGATGTCTGGACATCTATTCTGTAATTCTCCCTTAGTGCAAATGCCTTTGGATAACTTTCACTTTTTAAAAGCGATACTTCTGACAAAAATCTGTGAATCTTAAGAAAAAATCATCTTGAAACTTTTTTATTAGTTTACATCAGATGAACTCTCAAGAGCTTTCCAGCTCTGCAACTTTTACAGAAAGCAATTTCCATGTTTCGCTTCATCCAGCAGAAACAAACCTTCCTTAAATAGATATATTTGAACTTGATAAAACAATGCATACATGCCTGGTCAATTCCTATCTTTCCATTTTGTTATATTTTATCTTTGCTATGCAGCTTTATATTTTTTTAACTTTCCTGTATTTTTCCCACTAAAATTTAATATAGTCAGAGATGGAGAATTGAGATGGAAAATAAAGTATCTCAAATGGGTTCACTTTTGTCTTGGTCTTATTTTCCAGCAAGAGGTTTGCCTAAATAATCAGCCCATGGGCAAAAGAGACAAATGGTGAAAAACTGGTGGCAGAAATATAGGAGAGTTATTAAGGTGAAGTGGAATAGGGAACGTGTTCTAGTACTTTCTGATCTCGAACCTTCTGTCATCACAAGTGATACATGACCTTTATTTTTAGTATATTTTTTTCTTGCTAGAATCTGAGGATGGGGCAGTTAACAATTTTAGGAGGAGTCATGAGTGACAGAAGAAATAATGCTTAAATAATTGGCGCTGAATTTATGCAGGTATTCCTCTAAGGATACTAATAGCATTAAATCGAGTAACAGGAAAGTCAGCATTGAATAACGTGCTTTGAAAATGCTACCATATAAATAATTGTATAATTATAGTAGTAGAGGTGAGGGTCAGCTTTAGAACTTAAACATTATTTCACTGAAATTATGACTGACTGAAATTATGGACTGACTCCCTATTCATCCTCTATTTTCCTTTTTCTTTCCTTCCATCTTAGATCTCAATATTCTAGAGATTATTTCAGATTAGTAATTCTTAGCTTTTCTTTTTGTTCAATCACTCTAGTATGTCAGGATGTTTTCCACAGTCAGACAACCACTCACCTGCACTTGTGGCGTGTTCAGTGCTGCAGGATACTTTGATAGTAGAAAACTTAGCACATTCTATTTGGAGACCACTCGTAGCCCATTGTGGTCACTCAGCAGATGTACTTGACTAACTTAATGACTAAAGAATTGTGTCATAGTGTGATGGTGTCTGCAGTGTTTCAGCCACTACTTCCTTGAGGACTTCCAGATTTACATGGGAGAATATTACTGATAGAATAACCTCTAACACTTATTTGGGAGAGCTGATCATGATGTCCTTTAAAAGTTTTCCTTGACCTTTATGGTCTTTGTAGAATATTAGGGAAGTGTACCTTTTTGTTTAATGACTGCAGAATTTTGGGATTTTTGTACCTTATCAACTTTCAAAATGCAATTGGATAACACACTTAAACTGTATGCAGGTAAGGTAGTGTTTTTATTAAAACTTTAATTATAAAATGAAATATAAAATTAAGAAATGTAGAGTTAGGATGAGAAATAAAATTTGTCAATTACAAATGTTGACATTATGAGTGAATTTAAGGCTGTCTTTGGGATTGCTGGCTGTCAGAAAAAAACAGAAATAATAATTTGCTATCCTTAGAGTAAAAAGTGTATATCAGTTCATTAGGATCAAGAGTACTTTTCCCACTACTAACGTCCCAAAAATATTTGTCTCATGTAGCATTATATGGGATGGGAAGAGGGTGAAAGACACTTTTTTTTTGGTGACACTGGGAGTTAAACGTAGGGCCTTTGCTCTGAGATATAACAGCAGCACCCTTTATTTTCTTGTTCTGAGATGTAGCATAGCTAAGTTGCCCATGCTGGGCTCACATTTACAACCTTCCTGCCAGAACCTCCTCCAGTACTGAGGTTAGAGGCATGCACCAACACACCTGGTTTAAGGACACTACCCTATTTTCTTTCCACACTTTTCCCCCAATTCAGGGAAGACTGCTTTGAATTTTGTAAGGCTCTTTTTAGTCATCTTCGATAAACAGGAAATTTAAATAGAATATAGTACAGGAAATTCCATGAAGGGACAGTAGACTTATAGTGGTCAACATGCAGCCAGAGAAAGAATTTGTAAACAGTGTGACAAGTAGTGAGTAGATTGTGTGTCTTAGATGCCTTGGTGGATCCCATCTCTCAGCTGGGTTTAGCAGGAGCTGGGAGAGTTGATTATTTGTGTCATAACTATTCAGAGATGCTAAGAAAATTTGTCAGTATTGCAAAAGTTACCTGAAAGTTCTGGTAGGATATAAGATACAGAGAGGTTTGGAATTTGCTTTTATAATTGTTTTTTATTAACTTTATTCTCTATGACAAAAATTCCATAGGTATTATATGAAATATATTTATTATTCAGTGAAATTATCATGTCATTTGTTGAATTACAGTTCTCACCTTTTTGAGATTATAGTTTACTGTTATTCAGGTTAATTAGTGTTTAGAGATAGTCTCAGATTTTTGCTCTTTCTATATCTGCTTTATATGAAGTCGTATATCTGTTATTGTAAATCACATTCTAATCAGACCATCCGTTTTGATGCATTCTAGATTTCTTAAGAAACTTTGGTATATGAAAAATTACAAATTGTAATTTTCCAATTGTTAACTGCAATCAGTGCCATGTCCAGGCTTAATCAATAGAGAATAAGAAATTGATTGTAAATCGCAAACATCTGTAAATTCTGAGACACTTTGCAGGTGTATACTGGGTAAATTATTTCTGTAGCCTGCAAGATATCCAAGACTTCAAAGACAGCTGCCACAACTTTTTAACTCAAAGATGCAGATACCCAGTGGCACATAGGCACACCTTCTACTCTTTGCTATGATATATTGTACTCAACTTTCTGTTACCTCTCATGATTATTTTCTGGATCATTGAAGACAGGAGCATGGGGGAAAAGAGAAAGAGAACTAAAATAACTAAAATTTCTGTTTTCGAACTTTTATCGTTTTTAAATCTCTTAAATGAATCTTAATGTTATATAAATATACAAAGATAAATATAGAAATATTTATATAAATATGTAAATTATATATAACTTACAGTGGTGCCTCGGTTCACAAACTTAATTTGTTTTACGATGTTGGAAAAAATGACCATGTTCTTGTTCATGCAGGAAAGATGGCCATGATTGTTTGTGTCATCTGATGTAGAATTTGCAAACAAAAACAAAATTTTCCAAATGCTTCTGTTTGTTAACCAAATTGTTTAAAAAAAAAACAGCATTTGCAAACCAAGGTACCATTGTCTATGTAAAGATATATTTATATATAAATTATTTATTTATATAAAGACAAAACAGAGCTATTCCAGTAAAGATGGGGAATGCATGGTACATAGGTTTTAAAATTTTAATATTAACAGACAATAATTAGTAGACATAATTTCACTTTTCTGCCTTTTTTTTTTAATATGCCAGAAATAGCTAATAGGCAGCACAGGTCCTCTTTGCTCCTTGTTCCTGTCCCTCTCCAGTACAGTTGCTATCCAAGAAACAGCAGACATCTATAAGGGAGT